AAGGCAGGAGCATTACGGATGCTCAACAATGTCCCAGCATCCAGGGCACCATGCTAAGGGCAAAGACTCGGCTTTCACAGCAGGTAATTTTTCGCTCACACGATCGGCAAGCGAAGCTCGACAACAAGCCCCGAAACAATTGAGAAACGCCTTTCTGCGCCTGCTGAGGTCCCGATGTGAGCTCTGAAAGGATGAGTTCATGCCAGGAGCTTAAACCTCAGGGGGTCTGAAGAGCATGAAGCTCCTCAAGACCGGCCAGTGCTGGGGACCACGTTGGGTATCAGCAGTGACACAGGCTCATGCATCCAAACAGATTCCTCCTGCTACCCCAGAAAGTAGCAGAAAATCAACTGCCATCCCTATATTTTCAGGCCAAATCGATACTTCTGTGCAGGATTAGTGGCTCTTACGTTGTCCCACCGGTGAATGCAAGTTGAGGGTGAGGGTGGGGCCAAGGTCTCAGCTTGCCCTGGTCTTTACACTCCTCCGCAGCAAGGAGCCACAACATCTCTTCGCCAAGGAGGGGTTTTCTTGTAGCTGAAGGGGTGCTGCGAGAGTCAGCAGTGTGCCCCACATCGCCTTGGAAGGGGCTGCAGGGCCCCCCAACCCAAAATGGTTGATATCTGCACGGAGAAGTGGAAAGACATAGTACACGGTAAACAAAGGCAACATTTCACAGCGGCACATGGTACAGGCAGCTCACCTTAGGTAAATATGCCACAGATGAATAATAAAAAGCGCCCCGGTTGCTTGAAGCAGAGGCTGTCATGGAAACCCTGGCAGCGAGCGGCATCGTTTAGGGGAATCGCTTAGGAGTGACAGAAAAAAGGGCATAGTTTCTTGGGAGGCAGCAGGATTCAGAGATTAAACACACCGAGCAAGGCTGAAGTTTGTGCTCAGGAACTCTTCAGCAGGTTGCCCATGCAGCCCGGGACATGTCGCAGTCTTTCAGTGCCTTCCCTGCAAACCGGGGTGGATTTTTCCCTGTTAGACCTTTTGAAAGGTCAATAAATATCAGGACAGTAAATATCCCTGTGTGTTAGTACTTAGGCTACCATGGGGGAGACTCTTTGTAACCAGAAAAAGTGGTTGTTGTGGATATCCACCACGAGGTTTGGCAGCAGAGCCTGAAGGAAAAGTGGTGGAAAGGCTCTGGGCACACCACCCTCCTTTCGAAATGTGGTCCAGAAGGTCATGGCCAGTGCTGCACCCTCTCCAGACCAGCATCCCTCGGTGCTGAGGGCTCGGGGCAGCTCTGGTCTCCCCGTTTGATCTGAGTGAACACTAACCCCAATTTTCCAAACCTGGTTTTATCCCCTCCACATTGAAGGATCGCAAACCAGGATGCTTGTTTTGTTCCGCCAGCTCACCGACTTGCAAGTACCCTCCTCCTGGCATTCGGTGCTGGGGTTTATGTCTTAATTGGCATTCCCCAAACCACTCCAGCATGAGGGCAGACAACCCGATAAACGCAAGAACCTGCCATCCCTTCGGTGTCTTTTCCACCGCGCTTCCCCGTCCAGGCAGCCTGAGCTGTTTTATCACTTTCTCGAAAGGAAAGCGCTGCCGAGTCCCCAAACCTCACAGCAGCAGGGCGCTGGAGATAAGGCAAGGAAAATATTTCACTCGCAAGGAAACTGTGCTCATCTCGCACTAACGTCCCCATCCTCTGGAATCCAAGGCAATAATTACAGCAATTTGTAGATAATTATTTGTTAATTAAAAACAGGCTTGCTGGGTACAGTTACCAATTTCCTCCGCTGGCTGCATAGGGCTGCGCAAGGAGACACTGGGGGATTGCCGGTTTCGTAAAATCGTTTGCTTGTTCAGTTTGGAAAAAAAGCCCCCGGTGGGTCGTCTCCCCCCTCTCCCCACATCCTGGCAGGTCTGATTCATTCTCCTAAGGCATCCTGGAGAGATCTGTCCCTGGCTTTCCCTTGGAGATTTCCAATGAAGGTGACTGCTACATCCCCGCACTGCAGCCTGCTTCCCTGGCTAATTTAATGACCCTGTGCTCACACAGATTCCTTTCCAAACACATTTAAATTAGTAGCTCCTAAAGAAGGAGTCGTGACCCCAAGTTGAGGTCATGAGCCTGAGAGAAGCTCACCTCCATCCCATGTTTATATTAGCAGTAATAAACGAACAGTGTGTAGACAGAGTTACAGCTGGGAGCAAACTGAAGCTGCTGGGTTAAACAGTGCTGTTGGGGGCAATTATTCTGCCCTAGGTTGGGCAGTCTGTGGTTCTTGGTAGCTTCCCAGGAATAGTTTCCATGACAGCCGTGAGAAGAAGTAAGGACAAGATTTCAGATGTCCCCCACTAAATACTGCACCTGCGGGGAGTGTGTCTTGGGATGATGCCCTTCATGACGTGCCAGGATTCTGGATCTTGTGAGTCCTCTGTTTCTGTTTCTCCTGTGGAGAACACCTTCTCCTGGGCCCACCACGATCCACCAACCCACCAACCTGCTCCAGGGTCCCCCACAGCTCCAGAGCCAGGAGGAATTATTTAGCCCTGGAAGCAAGAAAGTCACATTGCTCCTGATCTACTGCTGGATTGAGCTGGCTCTGGGTGGTCACTTCAGATGTCCCTTCCTCTGTGGCACTGAGGAGACAGCTCATGGAGATCTAAGAGTTAGCTCTGTGGGTTGTACACCAAAACAGTACCAGTAGCACCAGTATAAACCCTCATAGGAAAGCAAGTCCATGGGGACGTATGCTGAGAAGAGAAAGTGAGCAGCCGCCTCCTCCTGATTGTAGCAGAGCAGCTCGGAGCCACGGTGACAAGGATGGGACTAAGGAATAACATGGCCATTTTGTCATCATCTGCCCAGAAGCAGATTGTTCCCATCCCCCTTAGCAAAACAGTGGTGTCAATGAGAACAAACCAGTGATAATGGGGAGGGGAAACAAATTAGACTGTCAGTATCCTCTTCGCGGAAATAATCTCACAGGTTGTTAGTCACACAGGGCTGGCTTCGCCCCTCTAATTTTCTCCTGTACGTGGGCTTTCGTGTTCCTCTCATCACCTTAGTGGCTGAGTGCCTGCACCATGTGCAGAGGAATCACAATTAAGCAAAGTGGCTGGATGTCATGATATACAGGACTACATCTCTGCTTCAGCAGCACAGAAAGCTAGCGAAGAGCTGAGATTAAACACCGGGTTAATTAGTACATTTAATTAGCTCTCAGTTATTAAATCCTTTCAGACCCTTAGATAAATCGCTCGAAGTACAAAACATCCCTTAGAAATGCTATTATTTATTCCTCTCTTCTCTCTCCAGGTGTGTGCAGGGCTGGAGAGCTCTAGCTTTCCTCCTGCAGCTTCATGCAGGAGCAGAGTCCCTCCCAGCCTCAATGGCCCAACGCCAGTTCCTGAGATTACTCTTGACAAGTCTGACAACTGCAAATTCACAGTTCTTCTGAGAGGAGAAGAGGCAGTACCCTGCTAATGTGGGCAACACTAGGAGGAAAGGGAATGGTGTTGGGAAAGAGCAGGGAGCAACAGATCCTCTTAACTCTGAGAGACAGAAACAGATTCACAGAGGTTTGCTGTGAACTTAGCCACCCAGCACTGTGTCCCTTTCCATGTTGCCGTCCTCCGTGGCTGCAGCAGGCAGGCATGGCAGCCCTGCAGGAAAAAAGAGCAGAAGTGGGTGGAGGAACTTCTCACGCAGGCTTTGGAGCATTGCCAGTCACTGTGCCAGCCAGACTGAGGGATAGGAAAAGCTCCTCCAGGCTCCTGTTAGCAGAGTCTCCCGCGTTCGCCCTCCGAATGATTTTCCTGTGGTTGCCATGTTCATCCTAACAGTCCGTGGATGCATCTCTGCTCTGAAGTCCTGGAGCAGCTGCCACCCTGCTCCTTCTCCCTGTCATCTCCAAGTGCACGGTGGTCCCGTGCTAACCCACCGCACAGAGCTGCTAAGATCCATGGGGTCAGCTGAGCTTCAGAGAGCCCATGGCAGCCCTGCCAGATGCTGTTCTGGCAGGGGATTTATTTATGGCAGGGGAATCCAGTTTTTCAGATGACCTTGGAGATCTACCCAAAGCATTTATAATTTGGACAATGCAGGGCCCTGAACAACACAGGTGCAATGAGTTCAGGCTCTGGGCAGGCTGGAAAACTGCTTCCTACAGAGTCAAATCTGTATGCCGTTCTCCTCATAGTTCACTGGGAGGAGGTTTGGGTCTGAGGAAAGGGGTTTCAGTGTTTTCAGCACCAAGCCTTCTCTTCCCTAGTTAATAACAGCTGTGATGGTGGGCAGGGAATTCAGGTCCTCCTGATGCTGGTGACCTCAACCCATAGGCTGAGAATTAACAAGGGCTACATTGGATGTGGCTTGCTTAAGGGAGTTTGCTTAGGAAAAAATAATAGTACAAGATTAAGCTGAAGGATATTCCTCGTTGCACCATCACACAACAATGCCTTACCCAGTACTTGTTTGTGATTCTAATAATCTTAAATTATTAGAAAGCAGAAAGCAAAGGCTGGGATAAGAAGCTGTTACTCAGCAAATCAACATTTTGAGAACAAGAATGCAGCTTTCTGGAAGATAATGTTCTCTCTTTTTTACCCTGCGCCATTTCAAAAGAAAGGTATTTAATCCTTCTATAAATAAGTATGAATGTATTTGCTTCTAGAGTCTACAAAATATGTCTGCAACAAAGCAATGTGGAGACATTTGGGAATGAAGTAGCTAATTTGATACTCATAAGAAACCATAACCATAGCCTAGGACCGCATTTCAGAGGACTGGGCTGACCTTTCAGCAGCTGATGATAGTTCTAAAATGGCTTCTCATCACTGAAAGCCCAATCTAACATCAGATAAAATAAATTAAAAGCTATCACTGACTTCTGCAGATATTGGATTAGACCATATAAAACCCACTTGAATGCTGGGAACCCAAGGAAATTATCATGGTAAATCTAAATTCTAGTGAAGCCTTACAGGCTTTAAAACATCTCTCTGCAGCCCCATTAAGAACGGGTTTCTACTTAGCTCATGAATAATTCACCTTTCTTTTTCTTCTGATAGATGATGAGTCCCACCACGATGAAGTCTAAGCCCAGCACAAAGCCCAGTGTTCCAGTCACCTTCTTGCTCACAGCAGATCCAGAGCTTGTTTCTATTGGAAGAGCAGTCCAGAGAGTTAAGGCCCAGGCTAGACATTGCCTGATCTCCCCATTTCCAGTTTCTTACCCCAGACCACAGTGACGGGCACTGGCAGGCTGACATGCTCCGCCTGGCAAGCATAGACAACCCCTTGCTTCGGTGTGACTTCCAAAGTGACCAGGATCTGGAAAGACTAATCTCCATTTAGGAGGAGGTCCTCATACACAACTTTGTCCATCTCCTCCTGCCCATTTTTGAACCACTTGATCTTAATTTCGGAAGAAGAAAACCTTGTTACAGAACAAACCAGCTAGTTGGGATAGCCCCACAGGTCCGTTTGCATGGGAGAAATTTTTACTCTGAGTTTAACTGAAACAGAGAAAGAGAGAGATGGAGAGTGCTGGCAGACAGGAGACAGCGCTGGCAGACAGGTCGCTCCTCTCTTCCTGCTCCATCCTCCTCGGGAATCGTTCGTAGCAACACGACCTATGGATTTCTCCTCCAAACCCTTTTGTCAACACATCCTTTGTTCCAGACCCGCTGCCTTCAACATGACCTCTCATTACACATCTCCCAGCCACATTCATCTTTAATCCTCTTTCTTTCTTCCCTCAGTGAAGGACCGTAATGGAAGATGCACTCTGCTTCTACCAGAAACATCTTGTAGGAGCATTTCATGTCTTCTCCCACATCTCAGGTGGGTCCATTGCTCCAGGAATTGGCAGGAGGGGAGGTGCATTCGTTAGACTTGGGAGTCCTGTCCCATGGTTTTCTGCAGGGCTCCTGCAAGTCATTTCCTTCAGTCTTAGACTCACAATAACGATGTTAACCGCTCCAGTCCATGGCATCATTCTCCCCCTGCCCCACTGAACTCAGACCTATCTCCCACCATCCACTGAGCTCCTCTGACGTCCAGTGGCTGCCAAACAGGGAGATGGCAGAGGGCGTTAAACATGGTCCCAGGCTGGGGAAGCCAAGATTCCCCATGTCACTCTCCTCTTCTCCTCCCCTCCAAAGACTCGCTTCTCCTGTCCATCACACTCTGAGTCCTCCTCCAGTTATAGCTGCAGTATTTCTCCCTTGAAGCCCACCAGTAGCTAAGCCACTGCAGCCTGTTCCAATACTCAGCAATTGCCCGTCTCAGCTCTATGCGGGCCGTGTAGAAACCCACCTCACTGTCACAGGAACAGATCTCCTGCCAGTCCCAGATGAACCTGTCCAGGTACCTCACCGGCTGAGTGCCACTCGTGTAGTGACACTCCTGCTTTCACTGCAGCAGGAAATGCTCTTGGGGGAGACACATGGGACAAGGTCAGGATGGACATCTTCCTGCTGCTTTCCCTTGTCCCTGAATATCCAGGATCTCTGCTCACCTGGAGGGTCTGTACGAAGAGTCATGTTGCTCCTCATCCCTATCATTACAGCCAGAGCCACAAACCAGGAGGTTTTGAACCCGGGAATCCCCAGAGAGGCTACTGTTGCTCACGTTGGGGGGGGGCGGAAAGCTTGAAGAGAGAGCTAGACTGCTAACAACCACATCTCAGGTCAAAGTAGAAACTTCTCAGCAACACTCTGAGTGAAGGAACTTGAGGAAGTTCCCGAACACTGAGTGGATTGGACAGCCCCTCGCTACGGATCCACTCAGTACCAGTATCGGGCAACATCACTGGGTAACCAGGCAGGAAAGGGTTCAATTTCTGCCTTTTGCTAGAATCTTTTCTGGAGGAAGGCAGAATAAGGGTTTTGCCAGCAGACACCACAAATGAGTGCTATCAGAGCAGAACAGTCAACAAAGCAGCTCAGATACTGCTGTGCGACTCCCGGGGCTCCATACTTGGGGTGTTATCTCTGGGCTGGCTCCTTCCTGGGACCCAGGGGTGCTCTCAGAGGACTGTGAATACAGCCTAGCCCCAGCAGAGCAAACTTAGAGCATCTCGGAGCATTGTGTTTACTCACCCACCAACCTGGGCAAAGAGTGGCACCACAAAGCTGGCCCTGCCCTGAAACCTAAAGTCAGCCAGGCCAAGTCATGTGTTACCCTCTGACAGAAGGACAGGGTCTCCCCTTTTCTTCCTCTGCTGGGAAACATAAAGAAAAATTTGAAGGACATGGTAAGAAGCAGTTTTTGCATCTGCTTTGGTTTTGTTTTCAGTGAAGCTTTCAGAAAAAAAACCTGGAAGTTGAGACAGAAAGAATGAAATATCTAAACTAGTGGTTTGCTTAAGGAGAATCAACTTTATTTATTGGAAGGAATGTGTTACATATTGCATCTCATTTCATCAGAAAGGTACTGCTGTGAAACAAAGAAATACAAATCCTTTACTTTGGAATAAAGACAAATGTGCTTCTTTTCAGGTTACCAAGGTATCACTGAAAAAAGGCCAGCATTTTCCAATCACAGCGTCCCCATTCCTACGTCTAAGGCACAGCAGGATGTTGACTATCTTGTGCATCTAAGTTTCAAACTAGGACCTTTAAGGACACCAAAGGGCATCCACTGGTACAGCAAGAAAACTTCAAAACTGTGGGGACTCTGTCAAATTGAAGAACCGCGTATTATCCACAGGTTAACACGGATTTATCTGCCTTACTTTTCTTCCTTTTGGGAGGACATGCTTATGCCCTGCATGCATAGTCCTTTATCTGCCCAGAAGGCACTACGTCAAGCTTCAAGTAGAAGGTACAAGTTGATCTCCTGGCAATGTAGTCAGAAGGATGCTGGACTTTCTGGGGATGCTCAGGAATCCAGATCAGAGGTCCATGAACAGTGGACACCACTGCTGATAAAAGCCCTCACCGAAAGAGCCCTCCAAATCAGAAAGAGATGCCACTACTAGGCAACACAGCTTCACGGCTCTCAGAAGGAGAGATGGAAAAGATTTCCACATGCCCAGCCCTGAGGGGAGAGTTTTTCTGCAACAGTACCTCCAATTCCAAACTATGTGGAAAAAACAGGTTTGTGTCATCAGACACCAGACAGATGAGAGTCATCTTGGAGGAGGCAAGATTTGATTTCTTGCTTTGTACCACTTCCACCCTGTTCCTTGCCTTTCTTAGGAGTCCCACTCCCTGGCCAGATCTGGAGGATCTGAGGCTAAAAGCTTCAGAATCAGAAGGGAACAAGGACAGATTCACTTCAAAAGCAGAACTGCATGGAGCTCGTCCTCCTCCACCTGCTAGAAAGGACGAAGTGAAGGAACAGAAAGATGTAGAGGGCATGGGTGAGCAGGCTCCGTGGGGAGACAGTCTGGAGCTAAAGCACCAGGCTGAAACATCCACAGAGGAGGCATTTCAGAGCACTTCTCCTGCCGGGTGAAGGCTGGGCATTGCTATATGGATGGTGCCAAGGAGGTGGTGCCCTACAAGCATAAGGCTGATTCTCCGCTCCCACCCAAAAACTGACACTACCTGTTTGGAAGCCCTTTCCCACCACTGCTCCATGCTTTCTCCACAGCCCCCATGGCCAGCTGGAAATACAGGAGAATCACTGTTTCTCACCATCCTTTAAACCTCCCTCTCTGCAGACACCTTGACAACTGGCTTCCTGCCCCCAGTCCAGACTGTCATTACTAATCTGATCCACAAACAGCACCAGTGCCCTCTGGAGAGCTTTTAGAAGAGCTCTGCTCTGCAGGGAAAGAAACAAAATATACATTCAGACACTGTTGTGTCCTTTGCAGACACCCAAACTGGCTCCGAAACGCCGAGCTCACGTACCAGAGAGGGAACAGAGCTATGAGTCAGCTCCAGCACTGTATAGACCCGTATGGACCTACTGAAACAACCCGAGACCTGGGGTCATCAGTGGGGCTATGGACGTTCATGGTATGGACGTTGTCAAACTGCTGGCCAGTGAGAAGAGGATCCAGCAGCGAAAAGAGGATGGTCAGCTCTATTTGGAACAAGTCGATGTTTGTTGGAGAGCTCTGGGAACACAGTAATCCCTGTCTGTCCCCCTGCCCTCTTAAAAAAATTGCTGGAGACTGTGCCTGTCAGAACACGAACACTGTCTGCAGTCCAGGAGCTTGGAAGGGCTCACAGCAACGTAAGTAAGTGTCAGCCCCAGGTGAGGAACTCAGCAAAAGGGAGTATGGAGCAGATAGAGGTTTATGGAGCAGCAGTTGACGTAGAGCTGAGCTCTGAGGGCAGAAAAGCCATGCGGGAGACCATCAGCTTTGCACTCAGCTAGTGCTGCATCCTCATTTTCTTCTGGGGACCGATGGGCCAAACTCCTGCCCTCTCCAGTGATACCGTTTGGTCTGCAGAAGGAAGGATATTCAGCTGTATGGGAAAAGTTCAAGTCCAGCCCTAGAAATTTGAGGCCAGACTTCACCACATTACCCCCTTCTCTTCAAAGACCCACAGTTGGCCCTTGAGCAGACAGGTGTGAGGGGAGGGATCTTACCCCTTTCCTGGCGCATTTAAACACTGTCATTGGTGTTACTCCCTAACTATTCCCTAAATTAATTGTTTTTCTGGCCTGGAGAGGCTTTTATGAGTCAAATAACCCTGGAAAAAATATTTTGGGACACTATGGGCCGAACAAGACAGGAAAAACCTATAGCTGAGAGCAGTAATAAAAGCACCATCTGTGACCGGGCAGAGAGAACACGTAACGTGCACTGAACAGTCATTACACACTCATTTAATTCTCACATTAAGCCAGGAGTTCCCTGAACGATAGAGCACTAATTTCCTACCAATTTACATCCTGCATCTCTGCCTGACACCGCAGCAGTACCAGCTCCTTCCTGTGCTGTGATCCTGTAAGAAACCACATCACAACACTGTACCAACATACAGCAAAGCTCAATGCTGGCCCTTACAGGAGGGCATGGTGATTGGCATCAAAACAAAACTAATTTTCCTCACTCAGGAGCACCAAGACATGTGTGTCCCTGTGTTTCCACCCAGCACTGAGGCAGTAACCTGCGCGTGTCCAGGCGGTCTGCCCGATTCCTTGCAGTGGCACGGGGGATGGACATTGGACAAGTTGTCCTCGTTGGCTGAGGATGCACTTCTAGCCTGGTTCTCACCTACCCTCCCTGCACCCCTCCCTGCGGTCTCCTGACCTTCCTCTGAATGTCTTTCTCATCCACCTGGTTATGCCCGTGCCCCTGCTCTGCAGCTCTAATTCCTCGGGACAGCCTTTCAAGGCAGCTTGGAGCTCAGGTCTAGACTGAGAGCCACGGGTGGGGACATGGGCTTACTGAAAGCAAAGGCAGAGGTGAAGGAAGGCCCTGGCAAGCAGCATGGGGACTTTGAGGACAAGAAGCTTTTCATGCACAGATAAAAACCATCACGGGGGAAAGTCAAAACCAGGCATCTACAAAGCTTTTCTCTTCTCTTCTCTTTCCCATGAGCCCAGCTTGTTTCTTTTAAATGAGGTCTCTGGCCAGCAATTCTTTTTTTACCTGAGACTTTGCAGCGAGGCAGGGATTTGTCTCCCTACAAGCAGTGTCACTGCCAAAGCTGCCTCCCAGCATCTCCGGGCCCTGGGGCATCACACTGATGCTGTCTCTTGTTTCACCCACTGTACTCCAAAGATTGATGCACAGGAATGGGACAACCTCTGACCACAAGCACAGCAGACATATTCAGCCGCTGCCTTCCCGCAGTGTGACTGCACAGAAGAGGGACGCGGAGGCAAAGGGCAGAACAGAGCAGCAAAGTCCGGGCTGCGTGGGGAAGCGGTGCTGATTTTACCCCTTTTTCATAGAATGGTTTGGGTTGGAAGGGACCTTTAAAGACCATCTAGTCCAACCCCCCTGCCAAGGACAGGGACATCTTCAGCTAGATCAGATTGCTCAAAGCCCCGTCCAGCCTAGCCTTGAACACTTCCATGGAGGAGGCATCCACAATTTCTCTGGGCAACCTGTTCCAGTGCCTCACCACCCTCATAGTGAAGAATTTCTTCCTTATGTCCAATTTAAATCTACCCTCTTACAGTTTAAAACCGTTGCCCCTTGTCCTGTCACTACAGGCCTTGGTAAAAAGTCTCTCTCCATCTTTCTTATAAGGCCCCTTTAAGTACTGACAGGCTGCAATAAGGTCTCCCCAAAGCCTTCTCTTCTCCAGGCTGAACAACCCCAACTCTCTCAGCCT